CAACTTCAAACTGAATTTGGCAGCCCTAACAGCTCCTGAAGCTCTACATACATGACAATTTCAACAGCAAAAAAATGCTTGGGGGGAGGGGTGGTTCCAAGAGTTTGGAATCTTAACTTATTGAGGTATTCTAAAACCTGTATGAGTGAAAAATGCAAGAAGTAGGAGTGTGCTAGACCAGTTATTTACTACATTTTCTTTCCATGATTTTCCAAATATTCTGAAGAGGAGAGTTTCTTCTATGCATCCCATTTCCCCAGCATTCCCAGGCAAAGATTACAATATTTCCATTCATTCTCCCTGTCCAGTTCATTTACATAGGAGCAAATAATATCAGCATAAATTAAGGATTGGAAGAATATTCATAGTTATTAGTTCCCGTGCTTATAAAACTGGGTTTTTCAAGAATCAGGAAGAATAATAGACCAGGATTAATTATGTGCCATCTTATCTCAGTATTTATCTATCCAGAAGAGTCGTTGATGAATTGTTCATGGAGAAAAAAAAGGTTTTCTGCAAAAAAAGGTTTTAAAAACTGTTTTCTGCTCAAACCTGTTTTCTACACAGATATTCTTTACAGAATAATGTCTCCACAACTCTCTGGAGCCTTCAAATATAGGAAAAATACTCCAGAGGAGTATTCATTTTCTCCCACAGCATAAAGAAAACTGCCATAATTATTCATACATATGAAAATGACATAACTAATGCCCACCATGGATAAATTATCTGTGCTGGGGTTAATTAGATTCAAATCCAGTAAAAATCCACATCACTGACAAGTTGACATCATATAGTTTAGGTTTCTTAAATACTTTAATGATGATCTGACACCAAGAATCTGTTTGGAATAGCATGTGTAGAGATAGGCATGACGAACATGTGACCCTACAGATGTGTGAATTCAAAGATCATCAACCCTATTCAGAATAGGCAATAGTAAAGAACAATGGGTGTGTAGACCAACAACAGCATAGGCACTACCTGATATAGAAATGTGCTATCTTTCCTCTTGAAGTAATGTCCATGGGCTTTTTATTGATTATCTGTGCTGGGGCTATTTATTGATTTTACAATTTCTTTCTACATATCAGTATATTTTGAAAGAATTTGCTTAGGGTTTGGCGACAGAGGTCAGCCATCCAGCAATTGAAATTGCATCTTTCTCATAAGGGAGGGGGATTATATGTGAAGGATGAACAGATCTACGCACTACACACTCTTAAATGAGCATCATAATTCACGGTAGGATTTCAGTAAATGTGAAATAGCTCACTTTTCCTCTATTAGTGAATGTGGTGATTAGTTAATACAAAATTATAGGAAAAGGCCCTTCACACATAATCAAGTTGACCATAAATCACAAGGAGGGAATAAAGTAAACTAAACCAGTATATTAGTTAATGTTCATAGTATTTATTTTTAGTGTGGCACAAAATGGACAAAACTTGGAATTTAATGCTTCACTCTCAGTAGACTTTTGTTACTGCTTCACTGTCAGAAGCCTTCCAATGTCTGCTAACAACTTTTGACACACACAAACATATACACACCCTGCAGCTACTTATATTCCCAGTGTAATGTATAGGGCACTACACTGGGAACATGTAGTACCCTATATATTACACTGTATAGGGCACTACAGATTCCCAGAAGAAAATTGTTGCGAATCTCCCTCTCCTTTCTCCCTCCAATGTATGTCTCTGTGGGCAGTGTAAGCCCCTTCTCTGGACAGAAGCTCTTCCATTTGTCAAGCATAATTCAGGATTCGACCCATTGTTCTGCAAAACAACACATCAGAACTTAAAACTTTCCTCTTTAGAAGACTGACTAAGGCTAAATTTACCCTTTGCCTAAGCTGAATGGAAAGAAGTACAGGACATACTATTTTGTCTGTTATTTGACTATCTGCAAGAAGAAAAGGGGGGGTAAGGAAATCTAGTTTTAGATTGTTGAACAAAGAAGCAATGTGAACAAGGTGTAGGAGCTGCTGGCAATCATTAAATCTGCAAAGGAAACCTGGTACACTGGGTGTTAATTACAGTAATTCAAGATGTTTTGGAGAATACACTAGCTTCTTTTTCCTCAGACCTGTACAGTTAATTGAGTCAAGTTTTCTGTTACAACTTCTTAAACTGTCCCGCTGTCTTTTAGACAAAAGCGAAGTGCCTAGCAGAATGCCACAGAGTCTGTGTTTCTGAACATCTTTAAATCCGTTTTCTCTAGGTTAGCATGTTCCATGAGCTATCGCAAACAATGATACAGTGGTCAACTGAGTTTGCAATGAGAAAATGCTTAATGTTCCTCCCTCCTCCTTCCCTCCCTCTTCCCCCCCCCCCCTCTCTCACACACACAACATGGATCTAGCCCAAGACATTTTGTTGCCTGAGACAGGGCAGCTAATGGCATACTGCACCTACCAAAATCATAGTGTACATAACCCCAAGCCAGGCAAGATTATTTTGCAGATGGGGCATAAAGTCCCACAAGTAGCTCTTCCGATCTTAACAGTAAAAATATAGTATTAGCATATAATGAACGTACTTTATATTATGATGCTCTTGCTCTGCAGTCTGAAGAAGTTCTGCTTAGGATAAATATTAATAATATTTATTTGTACCCAGCCACCATCTCACCAAAGGGACTCAGGGCGGCTCACAGAAGCACTCCAAGTGCCACATGCAGACAACAATATATAAATATAAATCCAATGACATAAATATAATCAACAGAGCATAAAAATCCCATTGATAAAATTATAAAAATTTGAAAATCATAAAATTCCTAAAAAGCAGTGGAACTTGCAGGCTGGCGATCTATCATAACAATCAATCAAATATCCTTACTTAATTCATTTCATTGATGTGATGTTAGGTATATACTCAAAAGCACTGTTAGATGGCTATGTGTAGAGAGATGTGGCTTTTTGAGTAAGGAATAAAGCTTAGCTGTTGGTTGAACTCATTATGGAGAACAAGCTTCCTCCCAATTCCCTCCCTTCCTTTTTTTTCTTTATTGTTGAACAATTATGTCTTATGTGTAGTATGGTAGGCCTTCAGATTCCAGATTAAAGGAAATAAATAGAAACAAGTCATAAAATGGTGGGGCATTGCTAATAGCAAAGGCAATTGTCATTCATCAAAACCCTTGCTGTGTTAATTCCATTTTATGTATGTATTTGTTAGAGTAAATAAATAAAATACTGCATCTCGGCATCCTACAGGAGACATCTTTCTGACTCTCAACCCTGAACAAAAATATGCTCTATTCCACAATTTATTTTCAAAGTCTCTTCCTTACAGAGTTGTCTACTGTGTGTCATGTGATGCTGCTGCATAGAATGGACAATTCAGACGCTCCCTTGGACTCTTGGACTTAATTGTGGGGTTCTTGGGATCCCAGCCAGAAAAAAGTGAACTAATTATGAACACATGGTTTGTGCTTTTTAAAGAAAGAAAGGAAAACTCTTGTAAAGACAAGACCCTCCGGAAATTTCAGCAGTTCTCCAAAATATTTATTTTTGAAAAACAGTATGTGTGAGAGGGTATGCATGCCTTCAAGTTGTGTTATAGTGATTCCATGAATTGTATGGGGTTTTCTAGGCAAAGAATACTGTGCCAACAAGCATTTTGCTTTCATTGTAAAATCTGAGGAAAGTCTTCAGAGCATTTTCAGGGCATAGAGCTTACTGCAACTCAACTCCTTTCAGCCTTTCCTCCTTTGCTGTCTCTTCATAGATGCCATATCCTAGGGCACACTTTTTCAACCACATCTCTTCCAGATATGTTGAACTACATCTGCCCTCATCCCTAGCAAATACGGACAAGCCGGCTGGGGTTTATGAGATGTATAGTCCAATGCTTCCAGAGCATGGCAGGTTGGAAAGGCAGCACTGATGCTTATTTCTGGATATGTTCATGATAGCTTACAAACAATGCTAGATTGCAAGTGTATTTCTATTTCTATAAAGTTTGCTATTATCTGCAGTTTCACATATCAATGAAAACTCTGGAAACATGCTGCAGTAATGTAATGGCAGCTGCTAATTGGGTATGGACATTGCAGAGCTTTCCAATTTTAATTACTGCAGCCATAAGTCTGCAAACAATGATGTAATTCCTCAAGAGAATACCAGCCAATGTTTAACTATTTTGTTTTGTAAGCCACTCTGGGTTGCATATTGGAAGAAAGGCAGGACATAAAAATATTAAATTACATTCATTATAAATTTGTATCTATATATACATTAACATAGACTTATTTTATGAAAAACTGTACCTGCTGTTTTGGTAATGTATTTTACCTGTTTGTATCATGTGCAATGGCCATCCTCATATGAAGCAGGATTGCACTGAGAGATGGAGTGAAGAAATGAAAACTGAAATTCCTGCTCCCCTACAGCCCATGCAAATTGTCTTGGTGCTTGGTTTTATAAACCTGCAGAGGCTTATTAAAACCATTCATGTCTTTGTGATCATCTAGCTATCAGTCATACAGAGTTGCCTGGAAATCATGGATAATGAATGTTTGTACTTGTGATCATATTATCCGAACTGCACTGTGTCAAGTGCAATTGAGAGGACTTGTTATTACACAGTACTTTATCCAGGGTTATGAGAGAGGTCAAGATCACTGCCTGCAAAATTATTAGAAGCTTGATGAGAAGCAAGAGACTAATTTGCAGAGAAGACGAAGAGATTTTCATGAAATGTAATTAACAAAAGGAGAAGCTGGATTTAATGTCAGAAGAAGTAAATTCAGGGTGAAATCTGTAGAGTACCCTCTCCAGAAGAACTTGAGTAATTCAGTATGGGGGAAAAGAATAGCTCTGGACCATTTCAGCTGAATATACAGTGTAGGTTATACAATTTCACAGCAAATTGTGAGGTCTGGATAGGGAAAGGGCTTGTCTGTCTATGTATTCCTTTATTCAAAATTAGGTAAAGAAAAGAGAGAGTTGCATTATCAAGCATGCACTGACTACTTTATTTCTTTTCCAGCGCAAATTGAAGTGATACCATGCAAAATTTGTGGTGACAAGTCCTCTGGAATACACTATGGAGTCATCACATGTGAAGGCTGCAAGGTATGAGAAGTGTCATCATTGTTCCTGTGCCTGTTTGAGAAGTGTCATCATTGTTCCTGTGCCTGTTTTTTCATGTCTGTAATTAACAAGACCTACTAATATATCCTTTTGATCAGGACAAAGACTTTGTACAAAATTGCCCTGCTGATTCCCCAACTTGTACACATTGTCTTCATGCTTCAGCAGTGAAATTACTCAACATACAATGATGCCATGTTTGAATTTTGAAGTTCATTACAGTAACACTTATAGCTCATTCAGTACAGGAGTTGACAACTTTAAAATGCTTTGAAGTTATATGGATCTCCTGGTTAATATTAAATAGATGAGGTTTCAAACAGTTCTGTCAGATATTACATGGATGAATGGAGAGAATGGCAGGCTCACTGATTCCCAGTCTCTACATATTCAGGCTCCCCAGAGAACCTCTCAACAGCTAGGAATTCTGCTTTTTTAGGGTTTCAACTCATGGGCAGTTTCATGAATGTGGGAGAGACTTCTTTCTTAATGATCACATTTTGGTCAGAGTTTAATCCACACTGTGCATGTTCACAGAATACAGCATTCTCTCCAATATAATGGCATTTCCAGTCAACAACAATAACATATATTAAAAGATGGTATATATTGGCCAATCATCCATTTAGGAAACTTGTCCATTAGCAGTTCTCAAGTATTTCAGGCATAGCGGATTTTTTTCCATCCTTGTAATTAAAGTAATTGGAGTCAGAAAATTATTTTCACATCCTCTCTTTGAACCTAGATGCAGGAGCACATTACACACTACGCTAATTATGTAGCATACAGCTTTTCCTCACCTTTTTATTTACTCTGGGGTTAGCATATCAGTCACAATCTGGCTTAGGACCCCTTCTCTCCTTGAATGCAATAAACCTGATCACAAATTCAAACTGCAGCTCACAGAAACCTCCAGTTAGTATGGTCATGCAGGTTAGATGATTCTGGGTGTTGTGGTCCAAAAACCAACTATTCAAAATTTTGAACTCAATTTGTGATCTGAGCAGTTTCTTTGGACTGAAAATAATTAAAGAAGGAGCAATACATAAGTAATGAAAAAATATTTTGATCATCAATTAACTGCAGCATTATTTCCTGAGTCAAGAGGTTTATATTGGTCACAATTAAGTTAACAAATTGATGTCAGTTGGAACTTTGTAAAGTTCTCTTTATCTAGATCCTTTGTTTTGTAGTTTTCTGATTCAGTATTATATTTATTTAAATGCTCACATATTATCCAACTCGCATATCCTGAAGATGATTTTGAAATATATGTAAAAAAAACCCCACTGTGACTAAAACAACAACCATGATAAAGCTGTTATATTGTTCTACTTGTCTGGAAAAATTCACATTATTTTATGAAGAGCCCATTGCTGGATGAGTCCAATTGATCCAATTGTTTAAAAATCAGCACAAAGAATAATCTAAGGCAAAAATGGCTTTTAGCAGAAAAGAAGCTCGTCTTCAGCTGTCTCAACAGCAGTGCTCCAAGATTCAATCCCATTTAGATGTGATTAGCATTAATGGCTACCCTTGTATGTGCCTTGTGGGCAGATGATCCTGCTCAGCTCTGCTGCATGTAGACAGCTCATGGAGATAAGGAGAAGCTCTTCCATACCAAGCAGCCTTTAACCCTATTGTTTTTGAACTGGTTTTAAAGTATCAGATCAATTACCATAATCCTTTGTGCTGCAACTACAGTGAGATAAGGAAAATGCTGGCTTTTATTTCAGTGTGACTATGAGAATAGTGGAACTCACTGCATTGGAGTGTGGTGGAAGCTCCTTCTTTGGAGGCTTTTAAACAGAAGCTTGGATGGTCATCTATCTGGGGTACTTTGATTGTGCTTTTCCTGCATGGCAGGGGGTTGGACTCTAGATGGCCCATATTGTATCTTCCAACGCTGTTATTCTATCTTTCTATAATTCTGTTTCAGGGTTTCACCACGTTTATCTGTTCTTCATGAAAAATACTGTATGAGAAATGTTGTTGATGTTAGACTACTAGTTCTGTAGGAATAAATAACAATGCCCAAACCAACTATCCAGCCCGTTTCAAATGATCCCTGATATCTCTGAGTAAGAAGAGTTCAGATGCTACAAACAGTAAGCCATGACCCTCCCCCCTCCACACACACACAGACCACACAAATCTGGTGTCTCTCTACCAAACTGAAGAAGGAAACATGAAAAATACAAAAAAATGCAAATTACATTTGTTTAATCCAAAACAAATCTGAAGGGTGAACCTATCCCTGCCCACTCAGATAGGATGGCAAATACAATATATTCATTTCATTCTTGCTGGGGGGGAAATGAAGATTTTCCACACACAAAAATTCCCACTGAATGATATTTAAAGAGGTTTTGAACTTTTTTTGGAGTAATTTTTATTTTATATTACAAAGAAAATCAAGCTTTATCTAAAGGGGGAGGGTGGGGGGGTTAAGCATGATGGTTGCTTATGTTTAGGTACTGATCTCCATTCCTGCAAAAACACTGTTTTCTGTACAAAAAGAAATTGTACATAAAAAATCACAAAATAAATCCTGAAGTGCAAAACGTTTATCCTCTCTCTTTCTCCTTGAGGGTGATAATGCTTTTATATTTGTATCAAATGGATACTTTGCAGCCCTCGGTGCTCAACTATACAAAATCTTAATTTCATAATATGCAGCTGAATCCTCTCCTTTTTATTCTTAATTAAATTTATGGGGCTTAAATCTCCATGGTCTGTTCACAGATTGAAAGCCTACACACTTAGGTTTCATCAAAAAAGGAAACCAAAGACTCAGTTGCATGCTTAATGTAGTGTACCCTTTGTCAGAAGTTTGTTTCATTGCATTCAGTGGGTTCTCCTCCTAGGTAAGTATAAGTAAACATTTTCAGAAATGTTATACCAATTGATGTTAAATAATTGGAAATAAAAACCAAAGGTTTCACACCAACATCTCACATCTTAAATTTTATCTTCCAATTTATTCCTTTGTCACCTGTCTTGACAAAACTTGCTCTTTTCCACCTCATGGCTTGATGTGTCAAAGTGTAGCTACAAACTGTGTTTTGCCACATGATAATTTGCCTGAAATGTATGCAGCTATTTAACAAGACCTCTTATCTTGCTAAGAGAATGAACAATAAAGAAAATTTTCCCATGTATCAGAATAAAATCCATGTGTGCAAAAACGCATATTAAAATCTAGCTTCAGAAATACAGAGTGGTTTGCATTATAGTTCAACCCTATTCTATTGCAAAAGACTGACAACTGTTGTGCAAGCATAGGTTTAGAAGCAAAGGAATCTAGGTTCAGTTCCCAGCATATCTGGGTAGGATGAGGAAAGAGTTATTTCTGACACCTTGGAGTATACTACCAGTGGGTGTGGATGAGCCTCCCACAATTGAGTGCCTTTCATGTGTTTCAGATCACACCTCTCATCATCTCTACTCAGCATAGGACTGACAGATTGGGTATAGCTGGTACAGACAACATTGAGCTGAAAGAGCATTGCCCTGTCTAGACATAGAAATAATATGATGGGCTGGGGAAAGCAGAGAAAAGCAATTAATGATTCCTTGCTCATGATTACACTTATTAGTGTCATTCGGTAGTTTCTAATTTATTATTATTATTATTATTATTATTATTATTATTATTACCCTGCTTTATCTCCCCCAAAGAGACTCAAAGTGGCTTAAAAACATTAGTATACAATTTAAAGTATACAAACATAAAATATCAAAACAAAATTCAACACAAAACAAAAAACAGTTAAAACCCATCAAAACATATTCAAAGTTAAAAACTACAGCACGCCTTGACTAGATCTTAAATACCTTCATTTTTAAAAGCCTGTCTAAATAATAGGATTTTAGCCTGCCAGAAAGACAATGGGGAGGGTGTCATTCTGGCTTCCTTGGGCAGGGAGTCCCAGAGTTGTGAGACAGCTATCATTTCTTTTTCAAATACACTATTAAAAATAGGGAAATGAATGAATACAATGGAGCCAAACAAAAAGATACCCACCTTCCTAAGCAATATTCCAAGAATAATGGCTTGTTACCAACTTCAATGTAACCAGATATTGGCCAGAATGCCATAGGTGGCTTCTAGTGCCATAAGCTTTGTCTGGCATGTGTCTGCAAGTAGAGCAAGATGAACAAGCAGCTTCTGCCCTTGTCCATTGTGTCTTCTCTACTTCTGGAAGTGCATGAGCAGATTGATGGCTCCTGAGCACACTGCCATAGCAAATTAATAGAAGGATGAATGTGTTGTTCCTGGGAGTCTCCTGTATACCCAGAAGAAGAGAAAAAATCATGTCCCCAGATCACTACTCAAGCCATGAGGTAGAAAGTTACAGTTCAGCAATGTGGGTACTGGATCTTGGCTTTTATGTTACTTTAAAAAATGGTGCTAGCAATGCCATTAAACAAAAATACCTTTTGATGGCTAATATTACCTGTAAGACATTGCATAAAGCAATATCCTCCACATTTACATTTTGTTGTTAGGCTTTCCTAGTCCACAGTGATAGTTTGCTTAATATGTTTTAAGCAATGAGCTGGCTGAGAAAAGTGGAAAATCCATTGTGTTAACTACAAAAATTAAAGTTGCAGCTCTTTGCTTATATTCATGCACCTGGAAAGGACTAGATAAGACTGAACAACCTTTTTCTTTTGATATTGAAGATGTAGTGTGACAATCTCTTGAGGTGTTTCTATGTTTTATGGACACCACACCTTAAATACTATAATCACTGCTCCCAAAATTCAGTTGAGCAAAACTCTCCCATTTATTTATTTATTTATTTATTTGCTGTATTTGTATACCGCCTTTCTCAGCCCGCAGGCAATTCAAGGCAATATTTAATAGAGATTGTAAGACAGAGAATTGGTAAGTTCTGTCTTAAATTTATTTTCTCTATACTCCATCATGTCTCTATACACCATCATTTGTTTTCGCATTTAATCTTGTCCATCCTCCAGGGAACTCAGGACAGCACACCTGAAGGGTTATCTAATTTGATCCTCACAACAACCATTAGAGGTAGTTAAATGTAGGGTGTAAATTTGATTGGGGAATAATAATAATAATAATAATAATAATAATAATAATAATAATAACAACAACAACAACAACCCACCCTCTCTCCCCGCAGGAACTCAGGGCAGTTTCCAACATGGTTCTCTGCAGAGATTTGGCCTGTACCATGAACAACACTTCCAATTAAGAGGGATGCTGGGAGTTCTGGAGGGACCCATGTTCCTGACCTCTGGTCTAGGCAGACCAAGGAAATGCAGTGAGATCCATAACAGAGTATTGAGGGCAGCCCGGTTATGAAAGTGCATTCATGTTATGGTTCTATTTGTATATGTCAAAAGCAATTTATTCATTTTCAGAACCTGCAACATCAGTGCTTATGGTGCTGCTGTTTCATAGTGTGTGTGTACCATGATCTAGCTCTCTCTATTTCTCTTTCTCTCTCCAGGGATTCTTTAGGAGGAGTCAACAGAACAATGCCTCATACTCCTGCCCAAGGCAGAGAAACTGTTTAATTGACAGAACCAACAGAAATCGTTGCCAACACTGCCGACTGCAGAAGTGTCTTGCCCTAGGAATGTCTAGAGATGGTAAAGTGCTCGCTTCCTGCTTCACAGATCAATCCTTTTAAACTGCTCTGCCTTGCACCCTGCATTCACCCCCAAAGAAAGACACCTTATTGCTCTGTGACATAGATCATGGCTGCTCCCAAAACATTTTATAGGGTCTGTATTGTGCAAGCAGAGAAGAATATAATGAAGGACAAGAAGGCAACATGGGAAAGATGAAATGATTCCAAACAGGAGAGGTTACGGTAGGGGATTCAGAACAAAACTCTGAAGTATTAGGCCACAATTCTGTACAACCATTATGTGAGAAATGGAAGCTGGCACACAGCCTGAGGTGTTTGGGTTTTTTTTAAAAAAAAATCACTGCAATTATCTAGACAAGAGCAAAGGTGGGCACCATGTGGCCTGCAAGCTGCATGAATACTCACTGGCTTTTCTAGCAGCCCTGGATCCTTCCCCACAAAAAAAAACCCCTCTCATCAAATAAAAGGAGAATTGCTGTTCTTTGTGTTCTCCAGGAATAGCAGTTGTCCTTTAAAACATGTTATAGAAACATATCTTTTTGGAGTTCCCAAATTTTTTAAACAAAATCAGTGGATCTTTCATACTATGCAGTTATAATGATATCATTCCACTTTAACAGGCACTGCTGTTTCCTGTGGAATCCTGAGCTTCATAAATTCAAGAGGAGTTTTTAAAATTCTCAGTCAGAGATATCTAATGTCTCACTCAGCTACAAATCCTGGGACTCCATAATATGGAACCCCAGTAGTTAAAGATAATAATTCTGTAGTATGAAAGTGCCTCAGAAGTGGTCTTCCAGAAACTTCCCAGTTTGTTGCTTTAGTCTGGTTTGGTTTGATGATGGTGAAGATATCATGTTTGGGGCAGGGACATTCTCAAATCAGATTTTCCATATATGCTAGCATGATTATCCTCTATGGCCCCTTCTACACTGCCATATAAGCAGATAATCCACATTATCTGCTTTGAACTGGATTATGAATGTACACTGCTATATAATCCAGTTCAAAGTAGATAATCTGGTTGTTATATGGCAGTGTAGAAGGGGCCTATGTCCCAGTCAAAACTTGCCTGGCTGTTTTGAGCTATCAGTTGCATTCCAAACCTTTAAACCTTTTGTTTAGATTGCCAAGTGAAGATTATTCCAGACTTTGGCCTAAAAGCTGAGAACTAGTGACAATCCCTTAGGATGTTACAGGCCCTGCTGGGAGTGCAAAGATACAAGGACCACTTCATTAAAGTGTCAAGAAGCATGATATATTAAGCATCAATCAAAGCTGCACAGAGTACTCAAGTCAAATATAAAATACAAAGTCAAACAATTGAGAAAACTTTATACAGGCAGTCCCCAGGTTATGAACCCGATAGATTATGCAGGTTTGTTCTTAAGTTGAATTTGTAAGTAAGTTGGAACAGGTATATTTTTAAGTGAAACTCCAGCCATAGATAGATAGATAGATAGATAGATAGATAGATAGACAGACAGACAGATAGATGATAGATAGATGTAGGCAAAGTTGAAAGGCAGTAACTCCAAAGTTTACTTAGTAGCTTTCCTATTATTATTATTATTATTATTATTATTATTATTATTATTATTATTTCAAAGGCTGGATGAGCATCTGTTGCAGGTGCTTTGACTGTGCTTTTCCTGCCTGGTAAAATCTCCTATTTTAAAAACCCATCATGTGTCTGATTAGTAATAGTCCTTTAAAAAAAACAAGTTGTCTGACAAGCCAACCATAGTAAGTAATACGTTGGCCACAAGGCCATCTGTCAGTGTGACTCTCGGAGAGGGCTGCAATGGGTGACTCTGTTAATGCTAAGCCTGAAGTCACATTTAGTCGATTTCTTCTCATATTTGTTCAGTCATTCACTGTAGATGTCTGAAAATTGTAGTCAATTCTTCACAGTTGGTTTTGAGAACATGGTTGGCAGATTCGGGCTTGTAGTGATGGGAATTTTCTGTCTGACCTACAGAATAAGTTGTAAGCTTTATTTATGTCACTGGTTCTCATGTGAAGAGTTAAAGCAGAGTGTTCAAAGAAGGGTGACTAAAGTGGACAAAGATCTGGAAGTCAATCCCTATGAGGAGCAGCTTAAGGAGCTAGGTATGTTTAGCTTGGAGAAAAGAAAGCAGAGAGGGGACATGATAGCCATGTTTATATATTTTAAAGGATGTCATATTGAAGAGGGGCAAGCTTGTTTTCTGCTGCTCTATAAACTAGGGCACGGAGCAAAGGATTCAAGCTGCAGGAACAGAGATTCCATCTAAACATTAGAAAAATCTCCTGATGGTAAGAGCTGTTCAGCAATGGAATATGTTCCCTCGGAGTGTGGTGGAGTCTCATTCTCTGGAGGTTTTTTGCACAGAGGCTGAATGGCCATCTGTTTGGAGTGCTTTTTATTTTCCTGTATGGCAAGGAGTTGAACTGGGTGGACTTCTTTGTCTCCTCCAACTCTATCATTTTATGAAAAGCCCTTTTATTGCTGTCTTGACCAGGGGTCTCCATTTCTTATGTGAATTTCCTCCCCAAAGAATGTGATATTTGCTGGTAATTTTTTAGCAATTGCCTTAAGCTATAGGTTACAATCAAGTCTTGAGTTTTAAATAGCACAATTTCATTTGTCTACATGAATTCAATTATTTTGCATTATTTATATTTACTTTAATACCAGGGATATATTTTTTTAGTATAGAACCATTTTAGCATCAGAATTAGTATGCTTTTATGTCTCTTATATTTGTAGATCTGCATTGCACTTGTTAAAACTGAAATCACAATTGGGTGTGTGAAAATAAAATCGGATGTGATTTGATATTTATGTGTTACTGGTGGCCTGTAGGCTACTTTCACTCCCCAGGTATTTTAAAGCCCACGAAGGGAGCCCTGCCTTGCTTTTCATTGTGAAGAAAGTGGTGTTAAAAGCAGGGTTCTATTACCTCATCAGACTACCTTTCCCCATCATATGCTGCTTGCTCTCCTCTTTCCCAGTGGAGCCCATTACACAACACATGTGTACTTCTGTCTGGGCTCCGTCAGGAAAGGGGGGAGCAAGCGGCATATGCCACTGCCAGGGCAACATTGGAGGTTTCCCTTGTTGCCTTCAGGACAATGGAGGAGTGGGGGGCAATGCTTCCCCCATGTGATGGGGTCCCAGATAAGTTGTGTGATGCAGGGCATGGAGTGACAAGTTCGCAATGCCCATACCAGACCCCCATGAATTTGCTACTCTGCGTGGCAAATCCATTGACCTTTGTGATGAGGTTCCTAGACTAAAGAGAGAAGCATTTCAGCTTTTTCTTCTTCAGTGTTTGCTTTTCCTTTGAAGCAAGGTATGTGTTCAACATGGGCCTTGCTTACATGCAGATAAGCACTCCCAGAAGCCTTCTGGAAGTATTAATCTGCTTATAAAGGAGGTATGTTTAGGGCACAAACCTTGCTTCACATGAAAAAAGGTGCTTTTAAAGGTGGTCTTTTTAATGCACTTTGTGCTGAAAGAAGGCAGTAGGAATATTTGGTGATTTATTTATTGTATCAGAAGCAAACCAAGGGTACAGTTGTAATGTATTTAAAAAAACCAGAGTTTTAAAACTTGGCATTATACTAAATGTCCTTTGACCACTTGGAGCATCTCTGGTGTTGCTATAAGAAGGTCCTCCATTGTGCATGTGACTGCATTATAATAGGTGGTCTGTGGTTTCTGTTCTCCACACTCAAATGTCGTGGACTCCACTTTGTGGTCCCATTTCATAAGGTTGACTCTGCATCTTGTGGTGCCAGAGTGCAGTCTGTTCAGTGCCTCCCAAGTTGCCCAGTCTTCTGTGTGCCTAGTGGGGAGTCTCTCATGGCTTGAAGTTCCATGTTTTAGCCTGCCACTTTTGGACTTTCACTTGCTGAGGTGTTCCTGCAAGTATCTCTGTAGATCTTAGAAAACTATTTCTTGATTAAGGCGCTGGCTTTCTGGCTGGTGTGATGTTCTGGAACTTTTGGTAAACTTTGGGGAAATGATACAGAGATACCCCTGACTCACAAAGTTGCATACTGCTAATTTATGGTTTAAATCCAGCCTTACTTGTGTTTGCAGCAGATCCACTGAGATCAAGAGGACTTAAGTTAGAGTGCATCTACATTATAAAATTAATGCAGTTTGACATCACTAACTTTCATGGCTCAATGCTATGCAATCATGGAAGTTGTAGTTTTACACAATCTTTAGCCTTCTCTGCTCAAGTTTGTTGGTGCCTCCCAACAAATCCCAGGATCCCATAGCATTGAGCCATGGAAATGAAAGTGGTGTCAAAAAGCATTGATTCTACAGTGTAGAAACAACCTTAATGCTCTTTCAGCTGTGTCTTATGTTGTATTTTTGCCAAATTACCACACCTGGCAGAGACCATCATTTGCATCAGTGTGAAAAGGAGGATGGTAAGGGGGAGAAAAAAAGAAAGAAAAGTGGCAGCACCTGTCCAACTAATTGGATTTTGTTTTAGCTTGAGCTTTTGTGGATATAAACTCTTTTCTTTGGCTGCAATACAGACTGGTATTAAGGCCTATGGCATAAAGCATATTTGTACAGTTGAGGGAGTGGATTAGAATATAGTTGGATCCAAAAAAGAGTAAATCATATCCTCCAACTTTCCCAGTTTGGCAGGAACAGTCCTGACTAACTCTTTGGCCGGCTACTTTTTCAGCTGCTTTTAAAATGTCCCAGTTTTTCTCTCGCCTCCCACTTTTCTCCTTTGTCCTCAGTTTTCTTCCTTTGGTACAGAGTACAAACTGGACCATTATGAGCATCCCTTGAAGCTAAGCTTTCTGAAGCTGAACCTTCGCTAGGGCAAGCACTCCTTTTGTGTTCTAAGGCTTAGCTTCCTTACATCATGATTATTTCAAAGAGAGTTATTTCAAAGAGGCCAAGCCAAAATGGACATCTAACCGAACAGTTTTATTTCCAAGGTCAGGTCCAGAACAGCAGTGTGGCTGACTTCCTCACTT